AGGCCCGGGCCTCCCCGTGGACCAGTTCAATCAGTCTCTGGGCCGGGTCCTAGGCGGTAGGGTATTCAGAGTGCCCCACGTGATTCCAAGAACCATTGACATTGGTCAGAAACCAGCCCCGCGGGGACGGCCCAAATGCCCCGAACACCTGCCACCTGCTAACAGCATTTAAGGCCCACCAGTGGGCTGGAGGCAGCGGCTCCCTGCCAGGTGAGTGATGGCTGGGTGGGTGCTGGTTTATCTCCATGTGTGAGGCTGCCAGGCCGCCCCCTCCCCGAAGCTGCTTGGGGGTCCCGGAGAGGCTGCTGTGGCCTTGTCCTCCCCAAAGCTGGCAGCCTGCCTGGAGGGGTGGTTCCCAGGAGGCCTCGGCTGGCCTCTCCCTGTTGAACTCAGCCTCGGTTTCCAGCAGTTGTGCTAAGTGGTGCTTGGCTTGTTTTCAGGATGGGGGAGGATGGGCAGTGGTAGTTGGGGGCCTTTCACTCTGCAGCGTCCAGATGGGGGCTGGCGGGGTGTGTGGGGCTGCATCGAGCCCCGGAGCGGGTCCTGGCTGTGGTCTCCCTGCCTCAGATGAGGTGTCTGGACATATCTTGTCCATTTGGTAAAGCCGTCAGGGTGGCAGAGAATGCTGAGGACAGGAAGGCCTGGAACTGGCGACCCCCCACCCCCGGTGCCACACCCCAGCCCCATCGGTGCCCGCTGGCTGCCCCACACACCTTGGAGCGGAGGTCAGCTCAGTCCTCCCCTGAGAACACGCCTCACTCCAAACCCAATGGGTGGTTTTAGTGTAAAACAAACCCCACTTTGTCTGAAGAAGCAGCTGTTAGTGATGTAGCTCTGAACACACCGACATCTAAAGATGTCCAGGAACCGGTGAAGTGTGGGAGAACCGTGCCTGTAATCGGCTCCTCGCTGGGGTGTGTAGAGGATCGTGTGGGTTTTTAAAGGTGAACTTGAAGGAGGGTTCTTGGGAGTTAATGCTCACTAGGCTTCTGAAGTATTTAATTTTCTTAAGCCATGAGTATGTGTTTATTTAAAATCAGAAAAATTCTCTAGAGAAGCCAGCTCTTGGGTGATGAGATATATCTTAATTTAAAACAGTTCTGGGTTCAAGAAAGATGCTCACCGTCGAAGCTGGGCTAAATCTAGGAAAGTAGAGGAAAAAACAAGACTTTAATGAGTCAGTGTCATTAGCAAGACGTGGCCAGGGAGGGTCCTTGGCTGGGTTTCTGGCACCTGGGACAGGGGTCTCATAGTGTGTGGGGAGCAGCAGAGCTGGCCTGAGATAGGGGTGTATTGGCCCCTAAGTTGGTGATGTTTGCCTAAATCAGTAGTTCGGTTTTCTCTGGATCTCAAACTTAGGGAGGTGCTGACTTTGATTTTGGTGCATAACTCAAAGCCTCCAACTCGGCGGTCTCGTACTACTGGTAAAAGGATGACAGGGTAGCCAGCCCTCCTGGATGCTACAAATAGCACTGTGAGGGAAGGAAGCACATTTTGAGCTGTGACTGGAGAAGCTTGTGAAAGCCAGAAGGATTTGCTTTGCAGCTGGCTTTGCAGAATGTCCCCAAATGAAGTGGTGTGGCCAACTTTGTCACTTTCTAACTGCTTTCAGGGAGAAGGGAGGACTCAGATCTGAAGTCGAGGTTTCTCTGCCTAGGCCATCTGATACTGGCCTTCCACTTGATACTGGATTTGCAGGAAGGTGGTAGCCATCTGAGCCCCCAGATCCATGTCCAAATTTCCTTCTGGTTGTACCTTCTGGGATGTGGCAGAGGGATGTGTGGTTCCCATGGCAATGGTCCTAGAACTAGGCACTGCCTTGAGTCTCCCCAGAAGCAAAAGCATTTCCTTGCTGTTTACCAAACTAGCCTCTTAGGTTCATTCAGACAGTCTCATGATCAGAGCTGGTCGGGGCCACTGATGGTGAGTGGCAACATGCAGTCAAATGTTTCCATTGCCTAAACCTGCTTTCCTATTTTCCAACATCTCACCCCATGTGCTAAGTGCCACCCATGGTGGTGACTTGGAGTTTCCTAATCCAACCTTGTTACATGTTATCAGCTGCAAAGCTTAGTGATCCATAGTATGACATAGGAGTCAGACAGACCTAGGCTGAAGTCCTGGCTCTGAGGCTTAACAGCTGCGGAAACTTGGGGAAATGAGTCGAGATGGTTTCTCCACTTGCAAAACTGGAGCGGTCTCTCCCTTACTGTTAACATTGCTTCACTGAATCCAAAGTGTCCAACATTCCTGGCATGTCATAAACATGTTTTGGCCATTGCTCGTTGAAATTGGCCCATAAGACTAGCCTGCTCCTCGCTTATAAATTGGCACATATCTTACCTCTTGGAGATGTAAGGTATAGCTTGTCATTTAAACCCAAATCTCGGATTCCACCTGGTCAATCTCTTGACCTTGGTGATTATAGCCCCCGGAAAACTGTTTCCAAGGTGTTTCCAAGGGTGTCATGATGCTGTTTCCAAGGGTGTCATGATGAACAGCAGTGATGTACCTTTGGGTCATAAAAAGTAACTCTTTTCTTCTTACGCGGCGGAATTTGAGAAGACTTAAAGGTCGATGAAAGGCTAGGATAGGGTTAGTCTCTGGCCTGAGATTCCGGTGCTGAGATTGTCCTGTAATATCCTTCTTTCCTCTCCTGATGTGTTGGCTTCTGATCTGTTGCTGGAGGTAAGTCTCCCTCTAGCCTGAATTTTTTACTGAATTAATCTAAAGCCCCAGATTGTCCTAATCCAACTTTGGTGAGGTGGGTCTCCTGTAAATACCCAGCAATCAAAGGACTGTGGCTGTCACCGGGACCCCTCTCCTCTCAGGGGTTGGGTGGTGGAGGTGGTCAACGTGACTTGGTTAACAGAACGGTGGAGAGCTTGGAGGGTTCTCTTGACCCATTGTGTCACTCTCTGCCTCTCCAGATGGGGCTGTGCTGGTGGGAGGGGGTGATGGGTCAATTCAAGGAACTAATTTGCAGGTCCCCTCCCCCCCATTATTGCCTAACCTTCTAAAGAGACTGAAGCTTTAAAAAAGGTGGCGTCACCACAGTGAATCGTCTGTTCTGATGCTCAGCTGATCTGTTCTCCCATCTCCCTGGGGCTGGTGGTGCTTTGGTTTAAGGATGCGTCCCTGGCCTGGTAGCTGCAGTTACTGCTGCTGCCTCTGTTGTTCTGTCTCAAATTCCTCCTTTCTCGTAGTCTCTGGCTGGCTCTTCAGTCTCTTGGGTCCTAATCTGAGTGTCACCAAGACTCAATTCTTGTTCTGTTCTCACGTATATTCCTTCTCTCTTCTTGGCTGTCTCCTCGCTTATGGAATTCTCCAAGTTGTCTGAATCATCCCATCCAAACTGATGTGTCT